TACACACGCACACAGACATACTTATATATATATATATATATATATATATATATATATATATATAATATATATATATATATATATATATACATATATACATATATACATATATATATGTATATGTATATGTAGATATATATACATATATATATATATATATATATATATATATATATATATATATATATATATATATATATATATACATATTATATATATAATATATATATATATATATATATATATATATATATATATATATATATATATATATGTATATATATATATATATATATATATATATATATATATATATATATATATATATGTATATATATATATATATATATGCATATATACATATAATATATACATACATATATATGTATATATATATATATATATATATATATATATATATATATATATATATATATATGTATATATGTATATATATATATATATATATATATATATATATATATATATATATATACATATATATATACATACATATATGAATGTATATATATATATATATATATATATATATATATATATATACATATATATTCATTTATCTATGCTTATATGAAATTTATCTTTAGATATATAAAACGGTTATAGTGTGTGTGTGAATGTGTATGTTTATTGGGAGTGGGGGTTGGAGAGGGAACGAAAGGGGAGATGGGGATATGGGAGAGGGTAAGGAATGGGAAGAGAGAGAGAGAGAGAGAGAGAGAGAGAGAGAGAGAGAGAGAGAGAGAGAGAGAGAGAGAGAGAGAGAGAGAGAGAGAGAGAGAGACAGAGAGAGACAGAGAGAGACAGAGAGAGAGAGAGAGAGAGAGAGGGAGGGAGAGAGAGAGAGAGAGAGAGAGAGAGAGAGAGAGAGATAGGGAGAGAGAGAGAGAGAGAGAGAGAGAGAGAAGAGAGAGAGAGAGAGAGAGAGAGAGAGAGAGAGAGAGAGAGAGAGAGAGAGAGAGAGGTAAGGGGAAGGAAGGGAGGAAGAGGAGGAGGTTGTAAAGTGGCCATTAAAGTACCTTTGCTTTCCACTTTTCCAGCGAAGGTCGAATATACGATGATATTTGCTTCTGCAGTCATAGATGAGCTTGTGAGTGTGGTCATAGTAATGGTGATACTGATGACCATGATAATGATAACAGTTATGTTGATGTTCATAATAAAGATTTTTAAAATATGAATGGAAATGCATGCTATATCAAAAATAGTTATAAAATACAGATTACGAAGATAATTGTGATATAGAAATTAACTTATTTATAGAATGGATATAAGAATAAAAAGGTGTAGTTTTAATGAATAGATAATTAGATAATAATGATGGCCATCAGAATCATAGCAATGACAGTGGTAAAGATGATAATTCTAAAATCAATTTTAAAAAAGAAATAGATAAAATATTTGCAGAAAACAGGAAAACGACTACAAAGATAATGATTATAGCGATAAAGATGATAACACAACTACTTGAAATTATGGCAATGGCATTATTAACAGATAACAATAATTAACACGCCAATATGGATATGAATAGTAATTGATGGCAATGACAACAAATAAACTAATATCAATAACATCAATGATGATAGTGATAACCATAACAAACACTGCAATAGTCGTTATGTTAGGAATAATGGAAATGGAGAATGAAAACGAAAATGCGTAAGAAATCGTAGTTTTTTTGTTTGTTTTTTTATTATTCTTTTTCAACGCAGTACAAGGAAATATTTTTACATTCCTTAAATATTTTTGTCTTTCCTTGATCCTTTTTTGGACACAAACTTTCTAAAATTATCTTCTATCTGTATTTCTGTCTGTCTGTCTCTTTCTGCCTCTCTCTTTCTTATATAGAATTTCAGATTCATCCGAATCCCCCCCCCCCCCATAAATAACACGAATGACATAAACAGTTGATTACCGACACACGCATGCCGAAAGAGTGAAGAGAAAGAACAGCATTCCCTTGACATTAACAGACGAAAACTGACAGGAAAAGAAACACTTTTTTCTTCCACCCACTTTACCTCTTTACAAGAAGGACGAATCTATAAGCTTCACTTCCAAGGCTATTTTACAAACAGACGCTTCATTATTTCCAAAAGGATCTTTTCGTCGGAATGACCATAATTCTATAGACTGCCCAAGTAATACCATATCCAATATAAAGAAGCGCTGTACCACCAGAATGTATAAGAAAAAAATGTGCGTAAGAGTAAGCCAGCATTAAGCCACCCGCAGGCGCCAAAGGGTTAACTTTGGGTGAAATGCATCTAGAGCACAAAGTTGCTGTTCATGTTGCAGCCGGAAACCAATGTTGTGGTTGGAAAATGGTAAGCGAGGTGAGGAGAGTTGATGAGGAAATGAGTCTAAGAATAGTCCTTTGGTGATTCTAGAGACAGTGAACTTCCCGAGTACTAAATAAAGAAAAATAACGATTATAAGTATGTATGTGTGTGTGTGTGTGTGTCTGTCCATCTAT